CTCGGTCCCGCACCTTCGTAGGTGCTGCAGTCACTCTTGGCCCTGCGGTAGTGTCGCCGCTGCAGTTGTTGTTGCACAAGGGTTGTGGACGCAGCAGTCGTCGTTTGTCGCAGCAGTTATTGTGTGCGCTGTTGTTGTACTCTGCGCAGCAGTTGTTGTTGGAGCTGCAGTTTTTGTTGAGGAAGAAATTTTAGACCGATTTTAGAGAAAAAAATGTTAATATATAATAATCACATCCCCAAACATCAAATCAAAGTCTTAAGTTTACTCATTATAGTCATCTTCCTCTACTTTTTCCCTATTCTGTAACATCTTTTCAGATAACGAGAGCCTGCCACGACGTCATTCACATATATATATATATATATATATATATATATATATATATATATATCATTTTTTGTTATTTTTGAAACAGATTTTGGTATGTTATTATTTTGCCGTATAATTTCTGCGAATTTGTTTATATTCATACATATATACTTTTTCTGCTACTTTATTGCTATGTCAATTTTCACTCTAGTGATCAATCAAGTAAAAAATTATCTTACATATAATCCTCTTAAACATCGTTTTCAATTGTTAATTTGAATAAATGAGCAATTGACATTGACAGAAAGATCCCAAAAGAATCATTTCTAGTCACTTAAAATTGTCTTCAAAGTCATTCTCCAGAATAAATTACATTACAGGTAATTTAGCACACGCTTTTATCCAAACCAACTTACATTACACTTTAAACCCGTGGCTTTTTCACATTTTTGCCCGGGGAGCAATTAGGGGTTAGGTGTCTTGCTCAGGGACACTTCAACATGGGGCAGCCTGGAATCGATCACCAACCTTGTGCTTCCCAGCACACCTTCTCTAACCCCTGCGCCACGACGACCCAGAATATGTTTTAGGATTACCTGTGCTGTAGAGTGCCCAGATGAGAGTAAGAGAAAGGATCAGCTTCTTCATGATGGTACAGGTAAGTATTGTTGATTACGTCTCTTGGAAGGTGAAAGAACACCGTATTTGTTTTGCTACCCTTTTTATACTGCCAAGATGTTGCGTATATGTACCACACCTGTTTTTTAAATAGGTGTATTCACATTTTTACATACACACTCATCATGTCAATTTTCCCTCTCACACCCTTCCTTAAACGTTGGTATTGTTAAGTAGTATAATTACTTCCATCTTGATGACGATCTTTAGTTTTTGTCTTGATACTTTTTGCTGTCTTCCGCTTTTAGAAAATAAAGTTTCATTCTCTAGCCCTTCACTGACTTCCATTGTTTTTTGTAGTATACATACTTTCTAATACTTAAACCTAGTTTATGCTTCTGCGTTTTCAGAGCGACGCAGACGCAAGACCCCCTTGCGTGTCCCTTGCGTCGCTTTTCACACCTCCTTGCGTGTGTCGAGACATTTTTCTCTAGCTTGCGTCGAAAGCGACGTTCGCCGCAAAGGCCGGTTGGCCGGTCGAGAGGTGCACAAAGTTGTGGAGGAAAATACGGGACAAATGTGTCCGCGATGAAAAGCAGCAGTGTCGATGCACGGGGCAATAAAGTCTATGATAAATGAATAAACCAAAAACAAAATAGACGTGACTCTCTAGGTCGTCTTCAACAAAAACACGTTACTCCGCCTGTTGTTCTGGCGATTAATTGCTCTGCAACACACGCAGAACCATGAATTGAAACGAGTGCGTCGACGCAACGACGCAAACGCAGAAGCAAGCGCCGGCTTTTAGTCAAATTCTACATTTAACTTAGGATTGTATCTTTTAACTCTGTTTCCTGTTTTAACTTCCCTAGTTCCTCTTTACTAAAATTACTGTACGACTACAAATTGATTAAGGTTGGAAAACTATGGAAATAGGTTCATCATATAATATTTCAATGCCTTTAAATAATTCTGACAAAGTCGCAGGAATCCACTGCAACTTTTTTGTTGTTTGATATTGTTTTAAAAGAAAGAAAGATATTGTAAGAATTCCCTTGAAACAAATATGAATGACGGGGTTCAATCCATTACTCTGATGGGTTGGAAACACTCTTAGATACTTTGCAGAGAAACAAGCTTCGTCGGATGCCTTTCTATGTTCTTCTTCTATTCAATTAGGAGGGAATTTTTACTGTCCTGATTTGTGGGTTTTGGGACAGAGGATCTCGCATATGTACGGACTGTAAAGCTCCTCAGACAAATTTTTGATTTTGGGCTATACAAAATAAAAATAATTGTATTGCATCAAACTCTATGATATAATTTGCAATGTTCTATAACTGGCAACTTGATAGTAGACAGTAGTAGATAGAAGAAATTCAAACTGCCAAAGACAATGATGGTGCACTTCTACGCCGCCGTCATTGAGTCCATCCTCTGCTCCTCCATCAACGTCTCGTACTCTGCAGCCACAGACAAGGACAAGGGCAGGCTGCACGTCATTTGCTCCACAGAGAGGGTGATCGGCTGTAATCTGCCGTCACTCTAAGACTTGTTTGCTTCAAGAACCCTAAAGTGAGCAACAAAGATTCTAGCCAACCCCTTTCACTCCAGACACAAACTGTTTGTGTCCCTTCCATCACGCAGGAGGCTGAGGTCCATCATCACTAAGATCGCACGCCACACAAACAGTTTCTTTCCGTCGGGCTTATCAACAGAGCCTGCGTCCCCAACTGACTGACTCTATTTGAACACACTTGACACTTTCAAATAGACTTGACCCCTTCACACACTTGTGTATAGTATTGCTATGTTTTCCCGTGCACCTTTTAATTTTATATTTTTAATTTTTGATTTGATATTCTTTAATTAATTGGTCTGTTTGTCCAATGCCATGTATATGCATCATCCACCATGACAAATTCCTTGTACGTCCAAACTGTGCTGCACCGCTACGTTACTGCTGTACTTATTTATCAGTTTACCTGATTTTCTTGATTAATCCAAAAATAGTCTGGTTTGTAGCACGTCAGAAAATAGTGAAAGTTACATTGGAAATGTGGTTTTGTCCGAGCAGTAATCCAAACACTAAATCTGTTCAGTTTTGTACCATCTCAAACTACAACAAGCTTCCAATCCTCACCCAGTACCCAGTTCACTTAGTCTTTTGTATTATATTGTTTTATATTTTGATTTGCAAAAGTCATAAACTCAAAACTGTACTCACAAGGCTTCAAGATAATTAAATAATTAGTCAACTTTTTTATTGAATAAATTGATTGAAGTTTGGACTATGAAATGTGAGTAAGAACCAAAAACTATAATTCCCCACGTTGATGTTCTTTTTTTCTTAACAATGATTGAAAACTAGTAAACGTACTAGGTAAAAATCTGCTAAGAATATTATTTGCTGTTTATCGCCACTTACCACCTTTGTCAATTGACCAGGTTGTACAGACACTAAGAATACGGTAACATGTAATGCACCAGGCAAAAAGAACAAAGTTGTGTGAACGTGTCCATAATGGACGTTTCAATTTTAATGATCCATTCTTGAGGATAGGCAGTGACGTCCATTCGACAATAGCAGGTGTGGCAAAACAAACAGCAACAACCCAATATTGGCAACAAAAGTAGAACAGTGCTCTCAGGAGGGTGCGGATCTCCTCTAGGTTTTTCAGTTTCGGTGTTTCGGTTTCGGTTGAATAAAACTAATCAGGAAACATTTTCCCCTAATTTCCCCCTGTCTAGATTCAATATATATATATGTGTTTATTATTATATGTCTCATGCTAGAGAAATGCTCTCTTTTTAATCTATCTAGCTGTCTGCACTTTCTTTATTTAGCTAAACTGGAGTTCACTTAGTTCACGCATTGAGTTGATGTTTCCTCGAATTGTTATCTCTGCTGTTTATTTCGTTCAGTACACTGTAACCCCTGTTATTAATGTTTCACACCAAACACACAGCCGATTAGTCATTGAGGGAAGGCAAACCACAATTGCATCCAGTCGACTGC